TGTGAGAGAGAGAGTGTGAGTGTGTGTGAGCGTGAGTGTGTGTTTCTGCTCTGACCTGGCAGTGCACCATGAACTCGCAGGTCTTGCTGAGGTCTTTGGCGAGCAGCGGGCGTCTCATGTCGCAGCGGAGTGTGTACTGCACACACAGCAGAGGTCAGAGGTCAGAGGAGTGTTTGTTAGGTCAGACGGCGGAGAGGAGCTCGCTCACCTGTATGTTGACGAACACGCCGTGGTACGTCTCGTAAAGGACTTTGTTGCCTTTGGCCTGCAGCGGAAACTCAAAGGGGATCTCGGTTCTTCCAGCGGGGATCTTTCCCGGCTTCACCACCTCCATGTTACTGGACACCAGCTGGATGGGCTGCAGGACACAAACCACAACATGATCCAGACACACGCTGATGAGCACTCTGAAGAACACGGTCATGTTGTTCCAAACCTGTACGAGTTTCTTTCCTCTCGAACACAACAGAAGATATTTTGAAGAATAACTAAAGAGTTGACGTAGCTGTTGACTGCTTTTCCACATTATGGAAGTCAATGGGTATTAAAATATAAAACTTTGGAGGATTTATGATGTTGTTGACCATGAAACGCGTCATAGTCGTGTGAAAAGGGTCCATTCTTTAAAAAGCATCTGTTGTGTTCGAGAGGAAAGAAACTCAGATGACCGTGTTCAGTTTTGGGTGAACTGACGCTTTGTATGGAAGCCCATTTCTGCTTCTGAACAATCCAACATTTATAAAGGTAATTCTGACTTTTTTTCTCAGAATTGTGAGATATAAACTTTTTTCCCCCTCAGAATATGACTTGATAATTCACAATTCAGAGTCAGAATTCTGAGAAAAAGGTCAATTGCGAGATGAAAAGTCACAATTACCTTGTTTTATGTTTATTCAGTGGCAGAAACGGGCTTGCATGATGTTGTTGCTTGAAGGATGAAAAATAGTTATTCATGATTTATTAAGAATAATTTGAAAGTCACTATTGACCAGCCAGGTTTCTGTAATGTTGTTTTTCCTTTTCTTTACACTCGTTTCTTTTCTCTCCAGACGTCTATGGAGGTGCTAAACACCCTCAGTTAAAGCTGTAATGATGGCATTTGGCAGATTTGGCTAAATACCCAGTGCGTTATGGTTTGCACTCCAGAAATTGGTTTCTATTTCAACATGTTTGTGCAGCGTTTAGCAGTGTAGCCAATCACAGACATATCTGTTGATTTCTTGAATGCAGCAGCCAATCAGAGGCGTTTAAATTATAATCCACTCACCGCTAGTCACTGGTGTTATTACTCGGGTGTTGTGTTCAGTACAAATCATCTCATTATAACACAGTTCAGACGTGATGTAAATAAGAGATTCGTTGTGCAGTGACAGTTTTTTAGTGATTATGAAGGGAGCGCTCTTTGCACCATAGCAAATAGCAACAGACAGCATATATATATCTGTGTGTGTCTCTCTCAATCTCTCTGTGTGTGTGTGTGTGTGTGTGTGTGTCTCGCCTTGACGGAGTTGTAGAAGGCCTCGAAGACTCCGACGCTCTTGGAGCTGAGCTGCAGGTTCACCAGTCCCTCCAGACCGAGAGAAACCCCCTGATGCTGCAGCGCGTCTCTGCTGTTGACCAGCAGCACTCCGCTCACTCGCTCCTGAAAGCACAGCACACTGAGCTCCAGCGGACCGATCACAGCAGCACACCCCGCACACACTCGCTCTTACCCCCTCATGATACACTTTATTCGCCCGCTTCAGCCTGATATCCAGCGACACGCTCATCTTCCCTAAACTCGCTTCCGCGTCTCCGTCATGTGACCGCTGACGTCATCCGGAGGGGCGGGGCTCCTCAGCGTACAGGCAAACTTTTATATATATATATTTAACATGTTATATTCATATACACAATAAATAAAAATACATTACTTCACAAAATAAATAATACTTATAATAGGGTAGGAATTAATAATTAAATTAAACGTCTTGAAAAAGTAAAATATATATATATATATATATATATATATATATATTTACAAAAATTAATTACAAAATAAATAATACTAATTAAATTAAAAGCAATATATACAAAACGTTTTAAATCCCGCAAAACCTGGAGCAACTTCCAGGAATCTACACTTATAATACTTACTTAAACTTATATTTAAACTTACTTATAATCAAACACGCATAAAAACTGATCAGGATCATCAGAAGCAGGCATGATTGATCCGGAAGAAGAACACAAACTAAACTCATGAAACCATTCTCTGCTCATACTGACCGCGCGCGCAAACATCTTAGTTAGGGCTGGAAGAGACAGTTTTGTTATTATTATTATTATTATTATTATTAGTGCCAAGGTACCAAAGATAAAAGTGCATAACATATCAACATTACGAACAAAGATGTGACATTACATGCAAAGCACCACTTATACATGTATATAACAATAAATCAATAATGCACAACGAAAGCTTTAACAAAATAAACTAAAAAGATGAAAAAGGAACTGTTTTAACAGCTTTAAGATTCTTGAAAGATGAAATAGTTTGGATATACTGTTGAAGCTCTTTTTTAAAAACAATAAATAAAGGATTTTGAAGAGTGAATTAACTGCGGTGAATATGAAATTTAGCAAGAAGTAATAATAGGTTAATAATAATAATAGCTGTATCCCTTCTAGCCACAACCCGAAATCCTCGCGTGGCGTCGTCTAGAGTCGCTCTCGCCACGCCCTACGACACGTCAAATTGATTGGCAGTTTCCAAGGCAACTCGAGAACGGCTCCTGCGTCATGAGGTCATCCGGGAACTTGGCCGTGTGATGGACAGTCGTCATGGAAACGCTCTCGCTCGGCTTCCATTTTGTTCCCGACTCTTTTCCCTTCCTTCAGACGACTGACGCCGCGACTGACGGCGCTCGACTGCGACCGAGAAACCGATCGCCGATTCGCGCGTCGCGTCGACGCTGAGCCGCGCCGCTGGGCGAGTTTAGCGCGCGAGTGCCGTGCGCGGGTTTGCATCGCGCGCCATTTTGTCCAGGCGGGGGCGCGCGCGCAGGATGAGTGACTGACGCACGCACGCGGGACTGCTGCGCTGCGGAGCGCGCGACGCTCACCGAGAGAGACGCGCCGATCTGTTCTGTTCACCGCGACGCTTCTCCGCATTGGACCTGCTCTGGAGAGGGATTCCTGAGGAAGGCGGCCGGCTGGGAATGATCGCGGATCCTCCGGAGGATTCTCGTTCCTCTCGTCAGAAAGAGGCGCGCCACACGGTGAGTGATGACGGCTAGCGCCGCGGCTAACGCTTAGCTCCCTCAGCGATCCCGCCGCCGCGCACCGGAGCCTCGGATCCGCTTGCTCTGTGCGATTCGAGGCGCGACCCGACGCGTTCTGCGCTTTTCCGTTGGCGCGGCGCGATAACGGGGCCGTTTTCTCGCTCTCCTCGCTCAGGCTTCGGTCCGTTTACAGGCCCGCGCTGCTAACGTCTGTGCAGCTAGCGGCTCGGTAACGACTGCTCGACGCGAGCGATTCGCCGATGATCCGTTCGTTTCGCGCCCAGCATCACAAGCTGTCAGTCTCCGCGCGGCTCCGGTGCCGTTAGCTGGCTAGGCTAACGGTGTTTTGACAGCTTTGATTCTCGTCATGCGCGCGAAACTGATTTACAGCGTCAATTAAAGTCGCGTCGGTGAAAAGTTGCGGGAGTCGGTGGTCTTGTCGACTAGAGCCCGAGCTGATGATGATGAGGGGCTCTTCATCGTGTTTCTGTTTGCTTTATTGTGATCTCACGCGTGTTTGTGTACTGTAAACGCCCGCTGTGTTGATAAGCTGCTCTAAACTGGACTGATTTCACCGCAGATCTTCACCAATGGTTGTGCGAGTTAAAGATCAACTCAACCATCTCAGAAAACGGCAAGACCCTGCTGAGACATCAGGGCTGTTCTCACCTGGAAACCACTCGCGAGTCGCTTCAGGTAACCTCTCACTCACACACTCACACACACACACACACAGGTACAGTATGTGGTCGCTCACACGTCTGTGCTGTTCTTGCAGTGGGCTGTGGTTTGCAGATGGACTCCCCAGTCACAATGATATGAGATTTGTCAGAAGACGATGCATACAGGTGAGCAGTGATCCTAACCCTGTTTTGCTCACGTGTGTGTGTGTGTTTGTCAGGTCACCATTATTTATGTAGCGCTTCTTACAATGCAGATTGTGTCAAAGCAGCTTTACAGTATTAAACAGGGAAATAGTGTGCTGTTCTCCTCTGGCCAGACGAACAAGCAGTTTAATTCTAGGCTGCAGCAGAGTGTGTTTATTCAGAGTTCTGCTCCTCTTTAGACTCCCGTCAGGCCACGGCAGCATCTAGCGAGGAACCGAGCGCTCTATTTAGGGCAGACAGTGTGCCGGTCGACTATAAATGTTTAAAAATACAGGCTGGGGTCCCGTGGCAGCGTCCGTCTCCGGGGCCGGGGCCCCTCTCTCACACAAACTGATTCCGGGTTCCTCACCAGAGAGCTTTTCTGTCAGCAAATACTGTGTTAAACTGTGCTGGGAAATGTGTCAAAGTGCAATTCAATTTCATGCGTCTTACCCGTTTTCCTATTGGACGGAGCCTCAGAGCTTTGCCCTAGCAACAAAAGTGGGTTATTTGCATACCCTATACCCTTTCGCTGCCGCTTTAGCCGTCCGGCCAATGGCGCGGCATCTTCCTGGTGGTAGGCTATGGTAAATGGTAATTGTTGCTGGGCTTGAGAGCGGTGGTTACCAGTGTGAATGTGCTGCATTGTGTTTGCTGGTGAGAGACGCTGATAAATGACGACTTAATGATCTGCAGATTCCCGCTCGCTGCAGACCGTCACATTTCCAAACATCACATCCATCACAAACGCTCACATGTAGTCTTTATTTGTTCGACGGGCGCTGCTGAAATCCTCAGCTGTCGTCTAGACGTCTGTAGTGTGAAATCATTAGCTCACGCTACAGGTCTGTCATTGCGATCATCTGATTTGAAAACTAGAGACCGTGTTTGTGCGCTCGCTGTTTCTGCGTTTACAACAGAGTTCAGTGTGTGTGTGTGATGCTGATGCTGAGTCATAAACACACACACACACACTCTCGATCAGCTCTGATTAGACCTGCATGTGTGTGTGTGTGTGTGTGTGTTTGAACGTTCAATCCATCGTTCTGAAGGACTGTAACACGTGTCTGGTGTCGTCTTGTGACAAAAGCATGATCTGCCATTTCAGTCCAAGCTTTTTCGGATCTTCTGTAACTGGATCAGGGCTTCTGGCTTGTGTTTCACTAGAGCGCTCGCTGATGCACATTAAAACAAGAGACTGTCATTCATATCCAAGTAGAAGCATTAGACTTTGTGCTGTATTTTATGTATTCTCTTTGAACTGTTTGAATTCATTTAAATCAATTTTTTAATCATTTTAAAATGTCTGTTCTCAGCTTTTATTGTTGTGATTATTTTAATTCCTTTTTATGTAAAGCACTTTGAATTACCATTGTGTATGACATGTGCTATATAAATAAACTTGCCTTGCCTTTTCTAGTTTGGAGGAGGTTGTCACCTGTGTGTGTGTGTGTTACAGGAGGAGAGACCTCAGCATGCAAACCCTCCTCTGTTCGGCTGGCCCCTTCGTTTTCTTTCCATTCGGCTGGTGTGCAGATGGATGCGCAGACGCCCCATTCTCACCCGCTGTTCAGTGATGGTCACCCGCAGAGCGCCGCTGACCAATCAGCCGCTGCGCTGCAGGCCCCGCAGGTACACACTCACGTTATAGTGTAGCGCTGGAGCGTCTGCACGAGCTCACACTCGCGCTCATGAACGCTGTCCTGTGTGTGTGTGTGTGTGTGTTACAGGTAACTGCTGATATGGTGATGGTTCAGAGGCGGATGCCTCAGTGTTTCCGGGATCCAGCGACTGCGCCCTTAAGAAAAGTCTCCATCGAACTGATCAAAACATACAAACACATCAATGAGGTGCGTCACTCACGTGACTGTGTGCAGCAGTTACTAGAACTGCACTGGTGAACTCATGTGGAACATAAATTAAAGAGATGATTTTTGTTGCATGAATAAATGCATCACTGGCATCAGTGGCCCTATGAAATCCGTTCTGTTTTTGTCCCAAATTCGGTTTTATTTCCTTCAAAGTTTGTTTTTTAAAGTTTATTTTAGTTGGAATGTGTCAATGGTTAAATTACATTTTTGAAATGTGTCAAAGTGCAATTCAATTTCATGCGTCTTACCCGTTTTCCTATTGGACGGAGCCTCAGAGCTTTGCCCTAGCAACAAAAGTGGGTTATTTGCATACCCTTTCCTGATTGGCTGCCGCTTTAGCCGTCCGGCCAATGGCGCGGCATCTTCCTGGTGGTAGGCTATGGTAATGAGGCACTGTTGCTGGGCTTGAGAGCGGTGGTTACCAGTGTGAATGTGCTGCATTGTGTTTGCTGGTGAGAGACGCTGATAAATGACGACTTAATGATCTGCAGATTCCCGCTCGCTGCAGACCGTCACATTTCCAAACATCACATCCATCACAAACGCTCACATGTAGTCTTTATTTGTTCGACGGGCGCTGCTGAAATCCTCAGCTGTCGTCTAGACGTCTGTAGTGTGAAATCATTCGCTCACGCTACAGGTCTGTCATTGCGATCATCTGATTTGAAAACTAGAGACCGTGTTTGTGCGCTCGCTGTTTCTGCGTTTACAGTGTGACAGAGTTCAGTGTGTGTGTGTGATGCTGATGCTGATGCTGATGCTGAGTCATAAACACACACACACACACTCTCGATCAGCTCTGATTAGACCTGCATGTGTGTGTGTGTGTGTGTGTGTTTGAACGTTCAATCCATCGTTCTGAAGGACTGTAACACATGTCTGGTGTCGTCTTGTGACAAAAGCATGATCTGCCATTTCAGTCCAAGCTTTTTCGGATCTTCTGTAACCCGATCAGGGCTTCTGGCTTGTGTTTCACTGGAGTGCTCGCTGCCGTAAAACAATGACGAGAAAAGAGACTGTCGTTCATGTCTGAGTCAAAGCATTAGATGTTCCTAGTTTGGAGGAGGTTGTCACCTGTGTGTGTGTGTGTGTGTGTGTGTGTGTGTGTGTGTGTGAGTGAGTGAGTGAGTGTGCTTAAGAAAAGTCTCCATCGAACTGATCAAAACATACAAACACATCAATGAGGTGCGTCACTCACGTGACTGTGTGCAGCAGTTAGTAGAACTCATACTGAACCTGATTTAAAGAAACAGGTTTTGTTGACTTTGTTGCATGAATAAATGCATCACTTGCATCAGTGGCTAGGGTTGGGTATCGTTTGGTTTTATTTTTCGATACCGGTGCCAAATCGATACTTTTAAAACGGTTCCGGTGCCTGAATAGGTACTTATTAAAAAATAAATAAATGAAAAAAAATTCCCCCAAAAATGATGGATTGGCATTTTCTCAGTCGGGAAATTATTTTTCACGTGCGGTGCCAGTGATGATGCTTCTTACGTCTGTTTCGGAGAACCAGAGGACAAATATTTCAATCGATCGCTCGGGCATGGCACCGAAATCTGCGTTCTGATTCGGTTCTAGTACATACTGGTTACATAGGTAACGGTGCCATATTGGTACTGGGTTTCGGGTACCCAACCCTATCAGTGGCCCTATGAAATCCATTTTGTTTTTGCCCCAAATTTGGTTTTTATTGCCTTCAAAATGATTTTTTTCTCTATTTTATTTTAGTTGGAATGTGATAAAGGTTAAAATAATTTTTTCAAAAATCAAAACAAAAAAATCTGAAATCTTAATATTTTATCCAATTGTTTCAATAATAGGGCCCTATGAAATGCTTTTTTCCCCCAGAAATTCTGTGTTGTGTACAGGGCTTAAAGTTCTCTGGCACCTTGCCGGATCTCCGGCGTGTGGTGTTTAGCTGCGGGAAAATAAGATGGTCCTCCTACATTTAAAAAAACTTGTTGATATCACGTTCAAGTTGAGTTCGCCTACCAATGTATGAGAGGAGCACAGCTTTCACTCTCAAACAAACTAACATTACTAGCCAATCAGAAGTTTTTGGTCCTATAAACATGAGATGCGCATAATAGTATCCAACTGCAGAGTCGCAGCTGATGAGCGCGGCACATTCTGAAAAAGCTGCGATGCGCAATGGTCAGATTTCCATCTCTAGAGCCATATTTATATAGAAAAGCTATTTTCTATATAATTAACGGAGCTTGTCATTCAAATATTTCTTAAAGTATTAAAATATTGTCTCGTTCTAGTGAACTAAGTATCTGTATTTTGTGTATTGTCACACCTCTAGTGTCTATGAGCATGATATAGCTCATAATTTTCCAAGTGTATGATATAGCCTAGCTTTCATTCTTCAGGTCAATCATATACTCGTGAAAAAAAAATCAGTTTGAATAATGAAAGCAATAACTTTGCCATAGTATCCTTTCAAATGTTAAAGTTGCCACAGTCATTGCATTCTTTACATGTGCTGCACTTTATTCGTATAATTTGTTTTATTAGTTTATATATTAGAATTTGAAAGACAGTAACAATATTTTTTGATAAGTGAGATCTGATTTTAGTCCTTGAAAACCAAAAGAGTAGTGCTTGAAAAGTCCTGGAATTTCATTTTGCCATATCTGTACAACCCTGTTTAAGTTACCAGTTCTTGCAGCATTTTATTTTGTTGTTGTTAATTGAACTGAACTGTAGTTTTCTGTAGTAAACTTGTATATTTCCTATTTTATATTAATTTCCTAGTATTTAATTGACCATTATTTCTTCTGAACAAAGCAATTTCAGAAATGTGTTTTAGATTGTAGGTCACATATTGTAGTGAGTAACCTTTCCTGGTATTGCTGTTTCAGATATCCCACCATAATCTGTAGTCTGAACCTGTCAAGGGCTAATGGCAAGGGCAGATACGTTACTAGTTTGTTTCAAGGAAAATCATTTTCAAATAATGTTATTTTTTTGCCAAATAACCCTGTGTATGTGTCCACCCCCCCCAACCCCCGGAAAAAAGTTCAGGCTCAGGATTTTTTTGCTTTAACCCCTGTGTGTGTATTTTAACTTTTCTGGCAATCAGATGAAGGCATGAAACTAATTTTTTTATTAATCTTTTAATCAAATGAAATAAACAATTCCTTTCATTATTTTGGCAAAAGAAAGTGCTGCACGATATGTATACTGTTAAAATGAGTAAAAATGTGATTATTCTTGAAAGGTTTACTAATTGTTTAATGTTATTAGTGTTACTATTATTATTACACTAAGTACATTCTGCTGTACAATAGTAATCTGTGTCCCTGGAGCACAAAAGCAGTGCTAAGTCGTTGGGGTATATTTGTAGCAATAGCCAACAATACATTGTATGGGTCAGAATTATAGATTTTTCTTTTATGCCAAAAATCATTAGGATATTAAGTAAAGATCATGTTCCATGAAGATATTTTGTACATTTCCTACCGTAAATATATCAAAACTTAATTTCTGATTAGTAATATGCATTGCTAAGAACTTCATTTGGACAACTTTAAAGATGATTTTCTCAATATTTAGATTTTTTTGCAGATTCCTCAGATTCCAGATTTTCAAATAGTTGTATCTCAGCCAAATATTGTCTTATCCTAACGTATAACGTATGATGTATAATTCTCAATTTAAAAAAATTGACCCTTACGACTGGTTTTGTGGTCCAGGGTCACAAATATTTCGGTCTCAATTTCTTCTATTTAAAGCAGACTTTTATTTTGACAGGTTGCCATGAAGTCCTTTAATTCCTGTGTGTGTATGATATGATAATGTGTGTGGTGGAATCACAGGGCCCTGCATCCGCAGCTCGTTCTGGTCGCTCCTCTTAGGCTTTGCTCTTTCTTTGCAGGTTTACTATGCAAAAAAGAAGCGTCGTCACCAACAGGGTCAGGGCGAGGACTCCAGCATCAAGAAGGAGAGGAAGATTTACAACGACGGTTACGATGACGACAACTTTGACTACATCGTTAAAAATGGCGAGAAATGGATGGGCCGATACGAGATCGATTCTTTAATAGGCAAAGGCTCGTTCGGTCAGGTCAGTGTCTCAGATCCTCTGGTTATGAAAGAATCGCCGGTGTTTTTGGTGGTGTGTGAGCAGTGTCTGTGTGTGACGCTCGTGTTCGTCTCACTGCTGGCAGGTGGTGAAGGCGTATGACCGCGTGGAGCAGGAGTGGGTCGCCATCAAGATCATCAAGAATAAAAAGGCCTTTCTGAATCAGGCTCAGATTGAAGTCCGACTGCTGGAGCTCATGAACAAACACGACACCGAGATGAAGTACTACATCGGTAATGTGTGACTCCATCACAGCTCCTGTGGTCGTAGAAAAGATCAGGATGTTCCCAAAGTGGTGGAAATGAGTTAAATTCTTAGAAAGCTCCCATAGGGAGCCAGATTTCTTCTGCTCTCTAATATTTCGTAATATTTTGCCTTAGTGTTGGTTTTGTATGCAATACGAGCGAGCATGAGGACGTGTTCTCTGAAATGTCTTTGTCATGTTGTTGTATGTGTATGAACCAGTGTTTGGAGAGGAACGAATTGCTCTATTTAGGGCAGATGGCGTGCTGGTCAACTATAAATGTTTAAAAATATAGGCCAGGGTCCCATGTTAGCGTGTGTCTCCAGGGTCATGATCATGGCTTCCCTCCTGTCTGTCTGGACAAGTGCTGAACAAGTTCAGTATCATGATACTGTTCCTCACAGACCAACCATAGAATGTTTCTGCACAAAACCATTGAAGAGTTTCTCTGGCAATGAGGTATCTGTTATAAATCCATGTGAATATCAGTTCTGGAAATGTTGATAGCACTGAGAACAAACTGACTTTAAATCAGACAAAACTCTTCCGAAAGCAGAGGTGAGGTGCCATTTATTTATGGTCTAAAATCATTTGAGCCCCAGAATACGTGCAGGACTTTGACTGTGGATCAGCCACTAATGAACCCGTTCTTCACCCAAAAATACATTGGTCATTTGCTTGTGCTGTTTCATTGTAATACTTGCCAAAACTTTTCTTCTGTCTATTTGTCCAATCCGACCAGGTAAAACCTGGGTTAGAGTTTGGTTAGGGCTGGGTTAGTCATGCAAGCAAGGTACAATTAATAACAGTTGATCAGAATTATTGTAGCCACAGAATGGACATTTGTTTCTACATTACTATGAATTGTTTTAGGACTGTGTCGCTGTTTCTGTGTTTTGAAGGGATGAGACTGTGTTCTGGACAGGACCGAGTCAAGGGTTTTGTTGTTTTATTGCCTGAGGTATTGATTGAGTATTCATGAGGAACCAGAGACTGGTGTTGTTTCTGGTATCAGTCCAACTTTGTTGTACAAGAGCACGTGTTTTATAAGTTCCAGTGGCTGATATGTTCATTATGTGTACATGATTGAATCAATCAGCAGATGCTTTCATCCAAAAGAACTTAAAAACGAGGAAAAACAGAAATTTACCAGACAGAAGCAGTGCCAATTAGCAGGAATATTGAGTTTTTTGTCAACTTTTATATATGGCTGTACATGAACAGAAGGTCAGAAAGCCACACAGATGGTCGCCATGTGATTCGGACAACGTGTTCTTTGTATTAGGATAGGGCTGCACGATAAATCGAAATGAAATCGCGATTAGGCAGAAGCTGTGATTGTCATGCGTATCTTTCAGTGAAGCAGGGTTCTGTGATCAGCAGTAAATCTCCATCTGAAGGCCAGAGAAACTCCAAATACACCCCGCAGAAGAAACCCAGGACATCCCTACAGCACTAGCTGAATAAACAGAAGATTGAACTGCTTTCAGTGATTCAGCCTGACTAATAAACACACGACTACGACAATATATGGTTTATCTGAGTTCTTATCTTTATAATTTTCATTATAATAAAGTATATAATAATGCAATGCCTTTTTCACTGCTTAGAATACTATGAAATATGTTTAAGGTTAAATATGCTTTATTCTGTGTAAGAAGCCACATCATCTCACAGAAGGATTTATTTCAAACACTCGACTGACGTTATGAAGTGAGTTTGGAGGAAAAACGTATTAAATGTGGTATTTTCACCTGCTTTCAGATGGAGCAGCATTTACTACACAGAGCCGTAGTTCACTGACAAGCTACGCAAACAACTGTCATTATCGCAGAACGATATCTTCGATTTCATAATCGCGTGATTAAATCGTCTGTGATAATGAACACGATATTGTGTAGCTTGTCAGTGAAGTACGGCTCTGTGCAGTAAATGCTGCTCCATCTGAAAGCAGGTGATGGAGATTTACAGTGGGTACGGAAAGTATTCAGACCCCCTTCAATTTTAATCACAGAACCGATTCGATTAAACCTTGCAGCCCTAGCCTTCAAGACATTAGTTTCTCTGTCATCAGTAAAGCGCTACACTCATTAACGTCATTCTGTCTTTCTTTCTCCTCCAGTTCATCTGAAACGCCACTTCATGTTCCGGAACCACTTGTGTCTGGTCTTCGAGATGTTGTCCTATAACCTGTACGACCTGCTGAGGAACACCAATTTCCGCGGCGTGTCTCTGAACCTGACGCGCAAGTTTGCTCAGCAGCTGTGCACCGCGTTGCTCTTCCTGGCCACGCCTGAGCTGAGCATCATCCACTGTGACCTCAAACCCGAGAACATCTTGCTCTGCAACCCCAAGAGATCCGCCATCAAGATCGTGGACTTCGGGAGCTCCTGTCAGCTGGGACAGCGGGTGAGACCGCAATCACTGTCTGTCTGTCCGTCGTTTGTTCTGTTATTCTGTAGAGTTTGTCGTTTCCCAATCTGTTTGTTTGACTGCACCTCATACCTAGGGATGGCCGATATCTTATAGTTTGTGATATACCGGGAAAAATTCTCCCCACGATAAGAATGGCTTCCCACGATAATAACGATAAAGCCTAGTTCTGTGGAGCGACATCGCGGAAGGCAGACGTGAAATTGAGGAGGAGTTTATCACTAAACAAGGAGCTCCTTCTATAATCTTCTAAAAATCACTCTGAGCCTTGAATAAATGTACTACATTAGCACAGTTTTGCATGTGCATGAGCCTGTTTACAAACCTGTTGTCCAACAAAGATATAATTTATTTACATGCTTTTTCTCCAAATTGATTTCATAACATAAGTCAAGTGTTTGAAATAACTTTTTGTGACCAGACGTGGTTTCATATTACAGAATGATAGTATTATATACAGTGCAGGGATCAACATTAAGCCTTGACGTGCTTGTTTTTTTGGTGTAAATGTAATTTATTCTGAAGCAATAGTCTCATCAGTGCTCTATTAGGTATTACTTATTAGCATATTTGTGATATTTGCCTTAAATTTATTTCTGTTACACTTTTTAACTTAATGAAGAGCAATATTTTCCTAACCTTATAAAATGTACGTCACCATTTACGTCAAATTCTTAAATTTTATCAATACATTCAATTATAATAAGACACTATGGTTGTTCCCATTCAAATGAAATCAGTATCAACACACTCCATCTTTCCACTGCAGAGAAAACACAGAAGCTGCATCGAAAGTGCCATTTAGATGTTTTTACTCAGACGGTTTAATGAAGATAAGAGGTTCCATAAATGCATTTACTCAAAATTGCAAATGCAAAAATAATGTTATTAGATTTATGTTTTACTTTTTTTGACACAAATATGAAATGTTGGAAAAAATGCAATGATACTTTTAAATATGAATTCAAACCACCAGTAGGTGGGGGCAAGTCACGGTCTTAATGAGTGTGTCATTGAATCAACCGATTCGTTCAAACGGCTGATTCATTCAATAAATGAAACAAGTGACTGTCTTTATGAACAGCTCACTGAATCATTCACTCACCCAATTCGTTAAAAAATGCTGAATCATTCAGTAACGAAACTGTTGTGTGTTGCTCAGAGATGTGAGACTGTTCTGCTGTGGCTTTGCTTAGAACTATTTTCCTTAGCGAAATGGAGCAAAAACGGTCAATAATGTGTCTAAAATGTAAGTCAGTTAATATTACTTGTTTATTGAACTAACGTTGTATAAAATCAACATCACATTTGCAATCGTGCTGAAAGTCGGGAAAACATCACTCTTGGTCGTGTGATGTTGCATATATTATAAAGAATATTTATCTTTTTTTCCTACCGCAGTATGTTTCTTTGTGTGTGTTGTTGCGCTTATAGTTTGGATTTTTCCGTGAGGCACGAGCCTCAACTGATGCAACCTTGATACTGTCGATACATTATCCGTTATTAGTCACCGTTTACACTGAAAGTAATAAAATCAGAATCATTCTAGCCAAAGTTTTGGTCCTGCCCTAGTTATTATTTGTTGTTAACATTTTAATCAAAATATTTGTCCGGTCGGGCAAGTAAAATTCTCTTTCACTTGCCCCTTCACAAAATCCACTTGTCCCGAACAAGCATTAATATCGAGCCCTGCACAGTGATAAAGGCTATGTCGATTAGCATTGCATTATAAATAGACTATGTCCTTATAAAAATACCCAAGATTGCTGAAGAACACAGATAAACTATAGCTATATTTTGTGCAATCGTAACTTTATTGTCTTCAAGTTTCCTCAGTTAAAATTTCTCTATCTGTGTTTTATTCAGTGATAACTGCATACCTTTGTCCAGATTAGGGATTTCCTGGAGCGTCGTCAGTGTAGTTTCTGCAACCCTCTGGCTTCCAGTATGAAATAAACAGTCATTACGTTACGTGTGTACTCCGTAATGCCCACAACGCCTTATTTTAGGTAAAAATAGGAAAGATGATACTTTTCTCTAAAGAAACAGGATTCCCTGAATTATCGTCATTGATATAGTAATCGCAGTAAATACCAGAAATTATTGTGATATATTTTTAAGCCCATATGGCCCATCCCTACTCAAGCCTCATTCAGTTACACGGCTGCGTGTGTCCTCAGATATACCAGTACATCCAGAGCCGGTTCTACCGCTCGCCCGAGGTGCTGCTGGGAATGCCGTACGATCTGGCCATCGACATGTGGTCTCTGGGCTGCATCCTGGTGGAGATGCACACCGGAGAGCCTCTGTTCAGCGGCGCTAACGAGGTGAGTCCTGACCTGAACCCATGCTCCTGTAGTCCGAGTGCAGCCTTCGCCCTCTGCTCATGCTTAGTTACAGATGTATATTTGTAAAAGTTGTGTCAGATGAAATCAACAAAACATTACGCCGGTGATACTGAAGGATGTTGTTGCCTTAGAAATTAAACTGGTCTGATAAACTGTTCCAGGTTGTCTATTAATTTAGAATCTGCATCATGTTCACAAAGTATATGTCAAAATGTCCCGTCTTGGCAAGTTTCCTTGGAAACACCGTTGATTCTCTTAAATGTATGTGAACAGTTGGATTCATGCATTCAGTCTTAAAGTGACAGCAGCCTAATAATCTGTCATTTAATGTTAATCAAACAGAATACCACAAGAAAAAAAAAAATCACTGCTCCTGACTGAATAACTTTATTTACTTTAGTAAGAATGAATCTATATGTAATTTACACAGTGAAGACTACGTGGTGTTATTTCACATTTAATTACATTTCTGCAGTATCTCTTACCTGAATACTACCATCAGACCTACCTGAAAAACATAAAGCGCAGTTTATTTCATTTGAATCTTTGATCAGTCGTATTTGTGATATTGCTTGTATTTTGTTAATTTTTCACATTTTATTGTAAGAGCGTTCACTCAATAATGTTTAGACTTTAAATGAGTAAAACCTAGCAGTGTTTGCTGTGGTACTGAAATTAAGAATCAGTATTTTCACTAGTATCTCAAATTTTGGTGTTATATCAACCTTATTATTGTAATACAAAAACAATGAAAACATAACTATTTTTGTGTGATTGAAAATGTTGTCAGCATGAACGCATCCTTGTGTGTTGCTGTAGTCATCTTCTTACCGTGCGTGATGGATGTTTTGTTGGCAGGTCGACCAGATGAATAAAATCGTGGAGGTGTTGGGTGTCCCTCCCAATCATATTCTGGAGCAGGCGTCTAAAGCCAGGAAGTTCTTTGAGAAGATGTCTGACAGCACGTGGTGTGTGAAGAAGACCAAAGATGGCAAAAGGGTGCGGTTCTTTCTTTACATTGATCTGCCAGCTGTCTCTGTTTGATGCAGTGACACTGACACTTCTCGTCTCTCCCGTGCGCAGTATAAACCCGCAGGCTCCCGGAAGCTGCACAGTATTTTGGGCGTGGAGGCGGGTGGCCCCGGCGGGCGGAGAGCCGGTGAGTCGGGTCACGCCGTCGCAGACTACCTGAAGTTCAAAGACCTGATACGGCGGATGCTGGACTACGACCCCAAGACCCGCATCCAGCCGTATTACGCTCTGCAGCACAGCTTCTTCAAGAAGACCGCTGATGAAGGCACCAACACCAGCAGCAGCGTGTCCACGAGTCCGGCACTGGAGCAGTCGCAGTCGTCCGGAACCACGTCCAGCACCTCCTCCAGCTCAGGTCAGAGACATCATGAATTCTCACGATACGCCCAAAACAATTATCAACATCATTTTTTTCATATCAGTCGATATCGATAATTATCACGATAAATGTCAAATCTTTATTTATTTCAAGTTTAAAGCCAGATTTTTGCTCCAAATTGAAACCAGACTGTTAATTTTCCTTAACAAAATTAATCTTAACTAGTGCTGTCAAACGATTAATCGCATCCAAAATAAAAGTTATTGTTTATATGATATATGAGTGTGCGCTGTGTATATTTATTATGTATATATAAATACAAACACATGCATGTATATATTTAAGAAAAATATGTTGTTTATATATTAAATATATTTATATATAATATAAATGTGTAGACATGTAAATATTTTCAAAATATAAACTATGTGTGTGTATTTATATATACATAATAAATATACACAGCGCACACTCATATATCATGTAAACAAAAACTTTTATTTTGGATGCAATTAATCGTTTGACAGCACTAATCTTAACAGAAAAATGTATTTCTTAGTTTCCGCATGTTCTAATGAGTGATATTGTTTCAAATCAAGAAACAGGTTTGTGTCGCCTGATAATATTAATAATATTACTTTTTTGTCTCTTAGAAATGCACATTTGATAGTAGTAGCAGCTTGAGTTAGGATGCAGATGCACATTTTTATTCATTATCAAAATCAGTAACATCTGTAAAAATTGTAGCAACCTAATTTTTATATGGTGAAATGTAATTATTCTGACCGAGTTTGGCATTGGTCTTCCATAGTAGCATACATTTAAATTATGATTAAAACCACACAAATAGCACCTCAATACCATGGTAGAAATATAACTATATGGTTTTTAGGTATCTGTATGAAAAACAGTAGTCTAAAGACATTTAGTATAGCTTACATTTACATTACATTACATTTAGTCATTTAGCAGATATCCAAAGCGACTGACAAATGAGGACAATAGAAGCAATCAAAATCAACAAAAGAGCAATGATACGGAAGTGCTATAACAAGTCTAGCTTAACGCAGTACACGTAGCAAGGTTTTTTTTTTTTATCACAATAATACTGTAATTATATTCCATTACTCCTTTAATACATTTAATTCATGCCTACATCAATAATATAGTAAAATTCGATACAAATAACCCACATTTCTGCCTCAATACCACAGTGCAGTTAGTGTTACTTACTACAGTAAATCCATGGTAACTGATGGTGATTTGTAGATTGAAAAACTGTGTTTCTCCTGTTTGTCAGCGCTTTTATCTGGCTTTAAAATCCCCGAGTCATTTGTGTTGTTGGCTGAATGCAAGCGCTTCACACTGGATCTCACAGCGCTGACAGAGACTCATCTGATCTAGTAATCTCGTGCTGTGCCGCCGTTCAAACTTTGATCCGAGCGGATAATTCATAAGCTATTTCGTTCCGCTTTTGGCGCATAATCATTATTGAACATTTATCGAACTATTCATATTGTTTTAAAATGATATGGCCGTAATTATGGTTCTAGATTTATCGTCCAGCCCTATTCTGCCGTCACTGACTCTAAGCACTGTGTGTTTGCAGGAGGATCGTCTGGAACGAGCACCAGCGGCCGCGCCGCCAAAACCTCCTGTCTACACGATAACACTGCAACCGGAGTTTCTGAAAATCTTCACCCTGGCAGGCGTTTTCAGAAATGTTCGGTTTCAGTGACCTGGTGCTGCGTTTGCGTGTGGACGAACGGCCTAACCGCGTTTGTGTGGACAGGGCCTCAGTCGCGTCAATTGTGCATTTATATTCCACATCAGTTATCACGAAACCCACGGCACACAACAAAAACAGCTCCGATCACGGCGTCCTCCATTCACTGGTTGTTGATGTTTGTAAATGCCACAAATATAGATGTCGCAAATCTAGGTATGACCAAGTTTTTTTTACAAGGTTTTCTTTTAGGTCATACAAGACTTACACATGGATATTTATTAACAGGTGAAGAACCACCATCATGCCTTACTTGCCAAACCAAAATGACTGTGAAGCATATTTTATTAGATTGTACTGTTTTGAATGTAAATGGACAACGGTTTTATTCAGAGGTGTGTTTAACTGGTTTATTTAAAAATGTATCTCCTGAATGTATTTTAGAATTTTTGTCTAGTGAAGATTTGAAATGTCTTTTATAACTTCTTGTTAATTGTATACCTTGTGTAATTTATTCTGAGATCACCATGAAAATAGACTTGATGCTGGCATGGCATTAAAGGGGTCATCGGATGCACATTTTCCAGTTGATATGATTCTTTAGGGTCTTAATGAAAAGTCTGTAACATACTTTGGTTAAAATTTCTCAATGGTAGTGTAAAACAACACTCTTTTTACCCTGTCAAAAAGCATTTGATTACAGCCGGAAACCGCTATATTTCCCGCTCCAGCAGCGCCTCCTGCTGGTAGAGAATTAATCTGCATTTGCAAGTCTGTGGGAAACGCTGGTGTCTGTCAGCAGACATTAACAAAAAGCATGCTTCAGAACAGTTTTGAGAAGGTGCTTAAGTTCTGAGCCATGTATTATTACGGTGAGCGTGATTTCACCAAGTACATGTTCCTGGAACAGCATTCCAATCAACCAACCAGAATTGAGGGATAACTTTTCAGGAAATATCTGTTTTAGGCTTACGATCAGGGTTAGGTGCTTCTACACCCTTGTTAATCAGCTATCATTTCACACTGATTTTAGGAATAAATTATGGGTAGGGTTAGGTTTAGGGGTAGGGATTGGGTTTAGTCTATATTTTTGGACAGTAATGTTGATCCAGGAACATGTCTTACTTGGCAAAATCACGGCGACTGTATTATTACTATGAATTAGGCTACTATTACTATCGTGTGCTCTGCAATAAACATTTACTCAAACTCTTTTATGAGATGAAGGGGGGGGAAAAAAAAAATAAGCCAAAAACATCGGCATCATATTTCGGCCATCGGCTGCCTAAATATTTCTAAATATCGGCATCGGCCAGAGAAAAACCCTCATCGGTCGACCTCTAGTGTACACACACTGCCAACACACATTTCAGTTCAAACAACTTGTAAAAGCATCCGATGTAATTTTGTAATTTTGCATCCGATGACCTCTTTAAAAAGTGAGTAAATAAATAAAGACGTCGCTGTCGGCCGCTTCAGAGTTCCTGCTCCTGGTGCGAATGCAACCAGAAAAACAGTCGTTTAGTAGAGTTTAGTGCTATTTAGTTTGAGCTGGGATGTTGATCTGTGTCTGTGCTCTTCCTCAGGCGAGACAGGGCTTCGCTCCGGCGCTGGGTTGGGTGGGAGGAGACGGACTCCAGCAGGCGGCCGGAGAGACGCACCCCGTCCAGGAGACCACCTTCCACGTGCCGCCACACCAGCCCAAGGCTCTGCACCCCCATCATCACCACCACCACCACCACCCGCCGCAGCAGCACGCCCCGGGCCCCGCCAGGCCCCGGCCCCGCCTCTACTCGCCCTCTCACAGCGCCTCCACACAGGACTCCATGGAGGTGACCCACGGCCACCTGTCCATGACCTCGCTGTCTTCCTCCGCCTCATCCTCGTCCACGTCCTCGTCCTCCACCGGGAACCATCACTACTCCTACCAGAGCCGCCTGGGCTTCGGCCGCAACGGCAGCATGACTTTGGGACTGGGTGCCTTCTCCAACCCGCGGCAGGAGACGGGTGTGCCGGGCCACCCCTCGAACTCTGGGCCGGGCCACTACATAGCTGAGACTCACATGGGCCTGCGGCCGGGCTTGGAGCGCGAGGAGTCGCCCATGGCGGGCGTGTGCGTGCAGCAGAGCTCGGTGGCCAGCTCCTGACCGGATTAACTGGCTTGACACCAGGCTGTCCTCCTCTGACCTTTGCTTCTGTTCTCCGGTTCTCAGATGGTTCACGCGATTCAAGCGGAGCTTTTCCAGAGTGCAGCGCTTCTTTAATATGGCCTTATCGTTACGGACTGAGCGAAGACGAGCCGGACGTTTCCGAAGCTTTCATGTATTTTTGACGTGCGAACACCCTTCATTCATGACACGCCAGAACAGAACGGTGGTCCGAGGCCTTTCTTCACTAGAGATCCGCAGGACTGACGGTATCAGCGACGGCCGTGTCCCTTCCCGCTCTTCTGTTGTGCTCGGCATGTGTGTTTTACTTTGGCCCTTTCGCTTCTTTGATTTGGCTTCGCGATTATGCTGTGAATTTTACACCACTTTTGTTTCTCCCTTTTATAATTTATTGTACCAAAGGCATTTTTTATAGAACATAGATGTCTGTAACCAATAATGTAGCAGTTCTGCACTTTGAAGCAAAGGTGTGTGTCGTGTCAGTAAACGACTGTCAGAACTGGAAGTGATGATGTTTGATGTGGCGGAGAGCCCAATCCTGGACGCCATCGCTTGCGAAATTCTGTCGCTCTGTTTTTCTTTCTCTTCATTTGCTCTTAGCAGACGGCTGCGTGAGTGGTTTTGTGTTGATTTGGCGGGACGGTGGATGCGGACTCGAGCTGCTCGGCTGGTCCCAGAGCAGCTGGACAGTCGGAGATCCCATCGGCCGGACGCCACTCTCTCTCGCTACTAAAGCAATCCGCGTCTCTCCGTCCGTCTGCGTGCGCGGTGGTGACGGGTGCGAGCGGGCGCACGGTTCTTTAGGGTTCCTGTGGTCACGGCATACAGAGGGAGTCCATGAAACAGGCTTCAGGTCTTTACTTTGTGACCCCATTTTAATAGCTGAAATAGAATTTATGTACATATTTATATTTTTTTAATAAAGGAAGTTTAGAACTCACTACTTTTTTCCTAATGGTATTTTGAGTACATTTACGTCAACTTGGTAACATGCAGTGGAATTTTTCTGTGGTAGTCAATGGGTATCAGTGCTTCCAGGCCAAAGTAGTTGACGACGATGACGACGCTAGTACAAATGCAAAACTCTAGGGTTGAAGCGGGACGGAGAGTAGATCTTCATACTTTAATCTTCTAGACAGGGTATCGTGTGTGGATGTGTGTCCCACTCAGAACGGCATCGGGCGGCGCTTCACATGTTCGTATACTCCAGCGCTGACGTAGTATACATAGTACAGAAAGTAATTTTCCGTTTAGTTGTGTTCTTATGGCACACGCTTCAATAAATGGGTCCATTTGAAAGCAGAAGTCAGCTGTGGCAGACGGGGTGTGCGTGAGTGTGTGTGTGTGTGTGTGTGTGTGTGTGTGTGTGAGTGTGTATGTGTGGAGTGACAAACATCAGCAGCGCTCACTAACTCCTAGCGTTTCAGGTCACACGTTATGATTTGAAATCTCTCTCCCTGGTCCGACTTTCCCCTCGGCTTCCCGTCCGGTTCGCATTCTCACTCCTCGTTTGGTTCCAGGACATGTGATGATGATGATGATGTAAACAGAACGACAGACGGATATCTCGGATCTTTATCCACAGGTTGTAAGATCATGACTTTCTGTGTAAATTAAAGTGTCACTGAGGGGCAGTAATGGACAAACCCTTTGTACTATATTCAAGCGGTCTTATGTATGATTATAAAAAACAAAGTTGCTTAACTTGTATCTGGTCTTCTCTCATTTCTTCATGTCGACTTCTTCGGTGTCTGAGTCGAGGGCTTTCCTGCTACGACCCCTCGAGTGTGTTCTTCTGTGATTCCTCAGCCTGGAGGTTTGTGGCCTCCACTAATGCACGGATCACATGTGTGAGAGTGAAGGATCATGGGAAATGGATTTAATTAAAGGGGTCATATGATGCGATTTCAAGTTTTCCTCTCTCTTTGGAGTGTTACAAGCTGATTGTGCATAGATAAGATCCCTGAAGTTGCAAAGACTAAAGTCTCAAAACCAAAGAGATATTCTTTTTAAAAAAGCATCATATGACCCCTTTAATGGATGCTGTTTGTTAGTCATACCTGACACCAGAACACTGCTAATAAAGCCACAATGGAGATTAGTCATAGTAAGTAAAACACCAGAGCAGCTGAACATTCAGGACCATAAGCAGCACAGTGTTTGACGGATGAGATCACCCTAATCATTAGAAACGCCAATATTTGATATTCTCGGTGCTGCTGTTCTTGATTGGAGGAGAGTCATTTTTCCAGCAAGTTGTTTGAGGGACATCTGAAGGTAGTTTCACCAATCCTGGCAACTTTAGTGAATGTTTTGTTTGCCATTATACTGAAAAACCTACAGTAGCCGTGAACAATCCTCTGGCCTTTATACATTATTTAAAGTTGTGGGAAAAATGTTGGATGACAACTGAACCTACAAAACAGCTCATATATTGGACAACCAGCTTGCAAACGAATGCTTTCTGTGAGTTTCATTGACGTTTATGCGTATGGTTCTCTGGGAATCGAACCCATGACCTTGGCGTTGCTGGCGCTATGATCGACTGAGCTACTACTGCTCGTTTTTCTATAAACATAAAATAAAAGCATAATTTCCCCTTTTTTGCTTGCAAAGTAATGACTGTTACATGTTTTTTATAAGGGCCCACATGGTAGTAGAAAGAAAACGTATATATTGTTTTATACTTTATCGTATTTTCTTTCGGTAATACGTGATTATTTGATTACGTAAAAGAGAGCAAAAATTAAAACTAAGCAGTAATATTTAATTAGCATTTATGATGAATTCGCGCATTTCCCGCTAAAGCAAGAGTGAAAACCGTTAAACTGGCGCGAGAAGCGCGGTCCTCCCGAGGTGAGCTACTTTTACTTCATAACGGATCATGAAAATGCAAGATAACATTATTGTCATAAAAACACTCGGGTGTGGATTGCGAACAGCTACGTCTGAGGAAATACTGATCCATATGAATAGTGTAAGTTTAAATCGGCAAATTAATCAAGAAACCAAACACTACACCTGTGTTTCATTCTCGATCCCTCTTTCCCTTGCAAGTGAAAATCTGTGAGTAATGTTAAAATAGAAAACCAGTTAATGAATAAATACAGTGGTTGCGTTTAGGATAATGTTAATCATACTCAGAAGAAGCCTTCTTTTTGTTTGTTACAGCAAGTAAATTGTTTTGTGTATGCCATTTATAATAACAAATTAAACTCCAAGATTAAGCTTTTCTGTTTTTGCCCCCCAAGAAAGTTGCTGCATATTTCAGTGCTCGATGACCAACACATGTCTTCCTCCAGGTCCGCTTCCGACAGCAGATTCCAGCGGAAGCGCCTGTGATTGGTCCGTTCTGGTCAGCGCTGAGAAAAGTAACGGGCTCCACGTGTCAACGCCGCGCTTCAGAAGCGCTGTGTGCGTAATTTACATCGGAATAATGACACTGACGAACTTCCTCAGACATCCGACCGACACGAGGCGCAGAGTATGAACAGACAGGACAGCGTTTATTTATTTCTAACATTGACGTCGGTGACGTCACGGAAAGAGGCGGAGCCTGCAGCTGGACAGCAGGGAAGGGAAGATGACAGCGCGTCAGTGACGCAAGGCTCCGCGCGCTGAAAGATGCTCATCACGCTGTGCTGCATCTATCTGTGGCTGCACTTCCAGCGGCGGCCAGAGCAGCTTCACCTTCTGCGCGCTGACAGTCGAGTCCTGTACGTCACCGAGCCGCAGGTGTATGGGATTACATCTCTGCCACAATTCTGCGCGCGAAAGATCATATTTTGAGCGCTCAAAAGTGCGTTTTGCACGCGAGCGATCTTAGCTTTGTGGAGAAAATGTTTGTCTTGCAAAGAAGAAAGTATTTCGAGCGCACGAAAATCAATTTTGCATTTAAAATAAGTTTTGGATGTGTGCAGACCTTCTCTTTTCCGCGTGCTCACCCGATGCCCTCAGTGCGCTCTAAATGCCAGCAGCTCGCGTGCTCAACACAACCCAGTGTTACAGTGTGCCATAATTCCAGCCAATCAGAGACCAGGCTGCTAAATTCTGATTGGCTGCCTTGACAACCAATCACAACATTCCTTGCATTACCTCGACAGCAGAAGAGGAAAAATACAGTGCATGCATAATTAT